TTAGAAAATAAGTGCTATAAGTACGATACCCAATAGCTGCGAACAGACCGCACGCGTGCTGCGTGAGTGATATGTAACTCGTATCGTTTATTACCATTGAGGTCATAGCCAATATAACGATAATATATGTATGGACTAATATAGGATAGTAATATATCTCTCTGTCGAAGCTATAGTCGACATCGAACAAATATATGTAAGGGCGCGATGTATTGAGAGGCTTAAGGAAATTCAATATAGGTACTATTAGTGGAACCATCAGGTAAAGGATCATCAACGAAAACATCGCACCTGCAACTCACATTATTACTATAATGTAAAAATTCATCAACGAATACGCAATCAAACTGCATTACTTGAATCAGATGCAATGTGCAATTCACAGTCACGCAAATAGTGAGAGTAATATACATATATTAAGAGCGATGAGTTGACGTTAAAAGTCAAAAGACATGTAAGTGATTCATTACCGGCATAACTTAACGACATTTTTCTTCCTAGGAGAGTATACTCATGCATAATTTTTACCTCCGAGAAATGCGTGAAAACGCGCCAGTGATAGTCGATCAGCGACAATAGGTGTTTTATCTGAGGAACAATGAACAAAACGAAGTACAATCTATATGTATATTCAACGACTTTTTAAGGAACCAAGTGAAAAGTCACATCTCATGAAATCTTACATTTTTATTTTTGATGATTATGTGGAAGAGTTTAACGTGAGCGCCGATTGCAAGCAGAAAAATGAATAAGGATTCACAGTTCTCGGTCAAGTTTTTCCATACTTCCAATAATTTTACAAACTGAAAATCGCCGATAATAATTGCGAACATCTCTGCGCATCACTAACGTTCCTATCTACCTACATTAAGGCGATGCTAAAGCCTCCTGTTTTACCCACATTTCCATTCGGTGAAAAATTTCTGAATTGGATTTACGGATTGTAAAAGTATTATTACATAAATTAAAGTACGCACAAACAGGATCTCAGCTGTACTGGATTTCATAAGAAAATCGAAAAAAAGTTAAAAAATTCACTTACTTTTGGCTCGTGCAGCTGTCATCTCAGATATATATTTGCTTGATATAAGAGTTTTAGAGTCCATATCTTAAAAATAAGCGTGCAGCTGAGGTCACATTACTGGAACGAACGATATTGAATTTGTAGAACTAGGATTGAAAGTTTAGAAGAAAAGTATTTTCACCGAATGAAAAATATGTGTATACGGATGCTTTGCGAAGATTGGGAGCCGAAATTCCGTATAGCAGTAGTTGCGCAGCTTGCGATAGATGGTGCTGGCATATGTTAGATAAGGACATATGTATGCGTTTGAGTAAGACAGAATGATATATAATATAATGTAAGAAATGAATAAAGGATGTCACTATTGGGCGCTTTAGCATCGCCTTAAGGGGATGCTGGAGTATCCTGTTTTACCATTAATTTTTAAAGACTCTTTTCTCTTAATTGTGTTTATGGATTGAAAAGTCCTTCTCCACAATTAAAGTATCGACAACAACACAGGCTACCAGCTACAATTTAATACGAAAAATGGAAGAAAATTAAAAATTATAGTTTTGTCACCGGCTCCTGCAGTCAACTCGTCAACAATATGTGCTGCATATAAGAGTTTCAGATTTTACCCGAGTTTCATATTTTACTTATTTAAAATAAGTAGCCAGCAGCCTACAGAAAACCTCGAAGAACAATTCTATGCTTTTAGAAATGAGGTAGAGGCTTTGGTATAAGAGAAAAGAGTCGCCAAAAATTTCGTTCGTATACTACAAATAAAATTGACGTAAAGCCATGAAACCGAGCAGTATTTTAGTTGATCTCTTTCTAAGAGATGGCGTCGCAATATGTTAGATAAGGACAGATGAGCGTTTGAGCGAGACACAACGATATATAATAAGTATAAGAAATGAATGAAAGATGTTACTATTGTCGAATTTGAAATTTAAAAGTCTGTACTATCGACCTTGATTAACTTCGACCGTCACTCCAGCATCCCCTTAAGAGCAAAGTAAATAAGTTAGTATGTAAGAGTATTGCCGATAAGAATAATTTTAGACGCGAAAACAATATCACAAATAGTAGGGTGACGTTAAAAGACATAATGACATTTATTTTGATTTATTAAATGTACATCACTTAATCGTCACTCTGCTTTCTCTATTTAGGCTATTTTTTATAATTTTCTTAAATATAATACACACACACACACGCGCGCACACACGCACACAAGTAAAACACATATGTATATATAGGTAAAATTTACTATAGAATACATATGTATATATACGTTTAAATTGTATTTTTTTGTACGTGATATAAATATTTATCATATCTTCGGTATCTTAAAAAATTTGGAAGACTACTTCACGAAATTTATACTTATGCTTCTTCACAAGGTGACATACTACTATAAAAAATAATGGAAATTTACCTCAAGGAAACCGATGCTGGAAACAAACATTGTAAATATGGCCGGTAACAGTGTCTTCTCGAATATACTTTGCGTCGGCCAAGTACCGAGTTTCGACATGAGGATCTTGTTAATATCGTAATAATATTTCACGGCCGCCTGCATCTCTCCGCCGTGATTTTGCATCGTGGATGTCGAGTCTCCCTCAAGATCCAACTGATATTTTCCGAACAGTCTCCTATATTCAGACACTATATTGCGCGTATCCACATAATAATGTACTACGTCTACGCTAACAATGTCTAGATAATCGTAGGCTGTCGGAAAACACATGCCAATCGTACCTTCATTTCCTATTCAACATTGATGGAGAGAAGAAAAAGAAGACGTACGCAGAAATTGTACATCGCGAAACGTCAATCACTACGGTCAATCACTACAAGCGATATTCGTCCATATATGTCCAACCCATAACTCACGTTGCATTATGTTATTTTCTTTTCTTTCTTGCAACACCATATAATTTTTCATAGTGTCACGCCGATAAGTACAAGATAAACGTGACAGGAAAATCGAACGATACGAAGAATCGCGCGATATAAGCGAAACAAATTACGTATACGAAGGTTCACGTAACACAAACGGACACGTATCGTTATAAAAATTTAACTAATAGATAATTCATTTTTAATTATTGAGTGTTATTATAGCTTAATGATTTCTTCAGCTACCACGATTTAAACGTGCCAAGAGACACGATTGTGCCTCGCATCAAATGTATACGCAAAGTGTACGGCAAAACAGAGAGTGCATCTACACATTATATTAAAAAAAAGTGCTTTTACTTTTCGTTTACGTGTTTTATAAACGGAGATATTGCAACGCAAAGTACAAAATGGTAAATTTCACTTCAATTAAGATATATCATCGTCGACATCAGAAAATGTTGACCTTTTCAGATTTTGGACTATACCAGCACGCGTTGTTCCGTAAGATTGACTGAAATCAAGAATCTGATTAAAGATAGATTCTAGTTAAAACAAGATAAAAACAAGGCACATTTTCACCGAGAAAGAAAATAATTCAGTACTTGCTTCCTAAAAAAAAAACAGATACAAACCATGTGATGAAAAATCTCATGTAATAGAAAAGAAGAATAACGCTGGAAGGAAAGGGGGATTCTTTGAGTGGCCCGAAAAATATTTTCGCAAGAAACCGCGCCGGAAGAAAAAGGGAGACCCTTTGGGTGACACGGAATACTTTTTCGCAAGAAACCGCGATTATTATAAAATATATAAAATTGAATGATTTTCTCTTTATAAATATGTTGTACTTGTAAAGTGAGTAGATCCAAGATTATATATTCCAATTTATTGCTATAGAATAAGTTGTGTCAATTTTTGAAATTAAGATCATCTTCGCTTCAAATGACTAAAAAAATGAACATCCTATATATTATTAAAAAATAACATCGTGTAACATGTTTTTTTACATATTATATATGTCTAATAAAATATTCCAACACGAATATTATTTATGATTTTTGGTTTACATCCAATATATAAGTATCATGGTATACATAAAATCTTAAACAGTAAAACGTAGCAGTAAGCGAATTGGCCAATCACAGTAGAGACCGTGAGGCCGTAACGTAAAGGCCCGTCTACAATACACGGAGTAAGAAGTAAGAGTAAGAAATTGACCAATCACAGTCGAATGTGAGAAGAATAATTCGACTGTGATTGGTCAATTTCTTACTCTTACTTCTTACTCCGTGTATTGTAGACGACGCCTAAACAGTAGTAACATGTTGATTTTCTTACACAGTTTACGTTTTAGTATTTTTTGTATACCATAGCCTTAATGATAAAAGTCAATAACGACGAGATATCAAACAGTCGGCAACTATTCGATAGCGACGGCATCTCAAATTCACCAAAAAAAAGTTTTTCCGGGTCTACTTTTTTTATTGCACTAGCACATCCCCTGCGCGCGCTACGCGCGCGCTCCTCCATTATACTATCCTTTTTAGACATTATGAAATATAACATTATGAATCTGTATTCAAAATGTTTGAATAAGAAAAATGACCGAATCATTATGGCGGTTTGAAAATTTGAAAATTCAAATTTTTTTTTGTGGTAAATGATAAAAAATAATAAATCTATTTATGTCAACAAAATAATACAGATATTGTTTGATAAATTAATCGGTTTAGAAAGTCACATCTTAGTACAATTTCACTATTTGGTAAATATGAACTATTAAAAAATTTATATGTTCATCTACACGTCTAGATTCATCATTTATATAAATTAATTGTCGATTTAAATTAGAAATACGTTATTTGTATATACATGGGCGTGCGTATGTGCAACAAAAATGTTGATTCAAAATGCAAATATCAATATTCTACCAATGTATTAAGTATCATAGTCATATAATTCAGAAACATGTTCAGAAGATATTGTAATGACGATTGTATTCTGGTAGAAAATTTATTTATTATATAAAAAATTGCAACAGATTTTACTATGATAAATCAAATTGACGAATTCTGAATAATTCCTTCGTCGTATGAATTTTATTATTGGCGTAAAAATAAAACAAACAACATTAAATATACAAAAACTTACTTCATTAATTGAATATCACACTTGCATTATCAAAACCTAGTCCCACCTGAGAAAGCTTTGGCATCGATTAAAAAGAAAACACTATTTCTCTAATCTGTCAAGGATGCTTCTCCAGTTTTGCTAGGCACTTTTTTGGAACAATATTTTTTTATGTCACATAGGAAACACAACAATATACATTAAATGCTTATAATTAAATCTTGTTAATCGAATATTAACTTGAGCCTTTTGAATAACGTTTCCAAAACTTTTTTACATCATCGTGGCCAGCTTTGGTAACCACCATCGTTCTTTTTCTACGAAATAAAGAATATATTTTGTTGTTAAATGCAGCACTTATTATAAAATTTTTCTCTCAACAATTATTACATATGTAATATATATTTTATAAACTATTTATATTTTAAAATAATAATTACCTTTCACTTTGCCAAATTAACACTCCAGTTGAGACCGCATGATCTCTGAGAACTTCGAAGTCAGTTTGCGAAAGAAATTGACTATATAGAACTCCTTCGCTGAACAAAAATCTATTTCTTTCATTTTCCCATAATTTAATTTGATCTACAATTGTCGGCGGTAATATAGGTGGCCCTGCTTCTATCATCTTACTATGTGCATGTTGCCGTAAATAGCTGTTGATATAAAATATATTTACATAGTTTTGTACTTGACTATTTTTAAGCCATTAATATAATACATACCCTACTATAATATAATACATACCCTACTATTTGAGAAGCAGTTATTCCACTCTTCAATGCTTGTCTTACCGAATCTCTTGTTAATATCGAAACAACTACATTTGGAAACCTAGACACAAAATAATATAATTGTTAAAATTTTTTATCTTGTACAAGATAGGTTTCATATTATGCACAGGGTGTTTTCACTTACCTATACAACATTTCACAGAAGAGTCCAAGCAATGCAACTTGCAAGTTCGAGTTTGTATAAGCATAAACTCGATAATTTGTTTCCACAATTATATACCCTTCCTTGTCTGTATCTCTGGTTAAAGGTTTAGTTTCACCAGTAGCGATGTTTAACGCTAATCGAGTTGGATAAAACCTTGCAACATAAATTAATGGAAATATAAGTAGATTTGGATTATTTATAAATAACACGCATTATGTTTTATCTATATATTTACCTTCCTGCTTTTCGTTTTCGTTGATATACAAGTCCGAATTCTCTTAAATGTTGTAAAAATGTTAAGAGTCCTTCGGACATGCCTTCAGTACTATAATCTTTACCGAGGGTGGAAAAATTTAATTGAAACAGGAAGGTAAGGCATTCTACCAAATCAAGACCACGTGCTTCAATTGTGTCAAGATATTGTAGAATAAAATACCATACCTACATAAAGAGAATATTTATAACATAAACCATATTTAAAACAATACCACACTTGTGCACACACATATAAAAAAGAAATTATTCATTATATAAGTATTTAACAATTAAATATCTGGAGACACTGGTAGTGTCTCGGCGCTAAGCCAAGCGCAGCGACACTGCTGTGGCTACTTTACGCGAATCTGTCAAGATTTCCAGACGGTAATCTAAACATGAAAATATATCTCTGGCGGCCAGATACATTAAAATTTTTATTAGTTTTTATCAAAATGAGTAAATTTTAAGAATTCTTATCATCACAGAATTAAAAATACTGGAATTCACCCCTATACATTCACAAGGGCATTTTCTACCCTTAAAACGGCTTTTGGGCAGATATAAAAAAATACGTTTCAAATATTTTTCAATGTACTACATGTATGCACAGTCTCAGGAAAATCGATGTATGACACTTGGGTAGCGTTACTTGTGAGACAAAGAAAATATCTGACAGAGAATTGATAATTACCTGCGAAGCTGTATCTAAAAGCAAAAACTGAAAACCAGCTTGCGTTATAATTGGGCTTCCATCAGCTTCGTCTCTCTTCATTAAACCGGCATGTAAAAGAATTCTTACAGCATCGGCAGATATGCCTATTGTAATATTTTAAAGTATGTTAGAAATATTTATAATTTGTTGCAAATTTTATGTACAAAATATGATTAAATTACAAAATAATTCCAGCACAAAATTTTAAAATTGTTAATAAAAATTTTTAGCGTAATGCAAGCAACTGAATTCATTATAATACATTCACGATACGTTTTTACAAAGTCTTAAGAAAATCTTACCCTCCTGCTGTTGAGAACCAACCATGTAGTGTAAGACACACTCCCACCTTTCCAACGCATAAGAATCCAAAAAGGCTACGTCTCTCGGCTTACTGTCGGTTTCTAATTGATTGGACATAGTCCATGGTTTGCCACCACCCAGCAACACAATCTTTAAGTTCTTCTTGAAGGTATTGTTCAAGGTCCAGCCTGGTAATCCACCAGGTATAGACGCTTCCTTCCATACGTATAGCTCGTTCAAGACTTGTACCACTTTCTGATGCTCCTCGAAATAGAGCTTGGAGCACCAGGATGCTATAACTGCTTGTGGTACTGGTTGCTCAACAAACAACAGCCTCATAACATAATGCTTGGCAATGACAGGTAACTCGCGGAATACAGCTAGGCATATAGGCGGCTTGTGATACAATTTGTTCAGAGTATCAGGACTACGAGATTTTAAATAGTCCTGTAGATTCGTGCACTGTAGGCTGTTCGGTCGTAACAAATTCTTGCCGGTTATTGTGCTAGACATGTTACTAATGTTCCGTCGTTCAATTGGGTAAACTATCACTGCGCAATTTATCTTGATCTAAATCCAGCTGTGTACAACAAAGAATATGCCTCTTGTGCTTTTATATCTATTATAAATTGTAAGACTATGTCCTTCCAAGCGCATTATCTGCATCTGTAATCACATGTAGAATAAAATTTTCTATTTGCTGCATTTGGATCGTAAAATAAATAATAATAATACTTACTTATAAAGCATGAATATATTAAGTCGACTGCAGTTTGTACAAACACTTTTATACATAACTCTGACATATTTTTAACAGTCATGACACTCTCGTGACTCTTTAATTTGATCTCCTTTAACGACAGATTCAATCGCGTGATTTCTTTCTTCTTGCGTTTCGCAAATCACTGTGCAATTTATGGTATTTCAACGAACAATGCTCCAAAGCTCCAATAATGTAATTACGTTACGATTTTATTTTTTTATAAACGCATTAGTCGTGTGTTTAACTGTTACTAACGTAACAGAAGTATTGTGCTGTTTCGAACAAAATTTGTGTGGCAAATATTGTTTTCATCACGAATAAACGGCCTTAAGTTCATTTTGTATTCGATTCTTCGAATATTTTATTTGACATGATACTATTTATCACAGAATTTCTTTGTCATTACACGCCGCGGCTTCCATCGGTCACATTCATGCCGGAATAAATACACTTGTAAAAAAAGCGACATAGAAAGAAAAGTGAGTAGAGAAGAGACTGGCATGAATGACGTGTAGTGTCCTCTATTGTACGCGACTGTAGTAACATCTAAACGTTGGGTAAGATTTTATGATCATAAATGAATCTCAGGGTAATAAAAAAATCGTCATTATCGATCGTTTTTTTTTGTCAATCCCTTACAATGGTCGCGTTCAACAGACTCAACTGTGTGGAGCGGATCCGTGAGCACTCGCTGCTATTGGTGTATTCTTCTAGATCATCCAATAGCAGCAAGCGCTCACCGATCCGCTTCACAACAGTTGAGTCTGCTGAACGCGATCAATGACTTATCGTTGATGGTAACGTTATTCGTAATAACTTTCACTCAATTGGTTGCCAGTCAAACGAGGACACAGCTTTTATGTCACAAATTACGTAAACGTCAACATTTCTTACGTATGAATTAACCGTCTCGATGACATACAGTGACTTTCTATTGCATAAGAACGATTTTAATTAAACTCGATCTGTTTAATTTAATCGATGATTATTAGCTTAGCAAATAATATCTGTACTCACTAATTTTATTTTGTTAATAATACAGTTAATATAATTAATTAAAAATCTGTTGTTATTTAATACATCGAAGTGTAGATTAGAGAAACGATCAATTAATAGCTATAATCGATTGACTAATTAAGTTAAACACAGTTTGATTAAAGTATCGCTCGATCATCAATACAAATTAATTATAACCTCGATTTAAATATTCTTTATCTTTTTCTGGTTATAAGAATTAGAAAAAAATAGAGTTAATAGAAGTTTAATCGAAGTATTTTCGCTCCATTTTTACGAATGTAGATCAACTTTATAATCTCGGTTTAATATTCTACTTTTTCTAAAAATTAGAAAAATCTCGATTAATCTATATTTATGAAAATGATCATAATAAGAGTGATATTTCAGCTAAACTTTTATTAATTTAATTAGTTGAACTGCTAGAATAATTGCCTATTGCAAAATTTCTAATTTAATTTGTCGTTCTTAATTTAATCTTTTCTTTGTGTGTTAAATAATGAAATATTAATTATTTTACCTATATTAGTAAAATAGTGTAGATATTGCTTGATAAGTTAATTGCTGACTAAATTATAATTGGAGTTTGGTCAAAGCTATCCTGAGAACTTCTTATCAAGTGTTTCAATGTACATAACGAAAATTATATACATATTACATAAATAAGAAATATTAATGTTCTCAAACTCACGTACAATTATGAGTTAAAAATTAGCAACAATAAAGATATTTCAAAACGTTAGTTGCGCGTATATATTTTTATATATTCTCCGCGTCCCACATCACGTCATTAAGATACAGTCTTGCATCGTTTGGAAAACATGCATTATTATAAATAATATTTTTCACAATATATATTTCCATGATTTGTGCATCTCAGTAAACACTAATGATAACGTTGTATCAATATTATAATTTTCTACTTGACAATGTAATTATTATATGTACAACGTGTATTTTAATTTATATCATACTTGTATTGTTGAGTAAGAAATTATAATATTAATGTAATATATGTCACTGTTGGTATTTACGTTCTTCCGAGATACATTTCGACCTCCATTCAGTCCCATTACAGCTAAAAACATCAACGGAATCTGAAACTGAATTATTATATGTACAACGTGTATTTTAATTTATATCATACTTGTATTGTTGAGTAAGAAATTATAATATTAATGTAATATATGTCACTGTTGGTGTTTACGTTCCTCCGAGATACATTTCAACCTCCATCCAGTCCCATTAACGGCTAAAAACATCAACGGAATCTGAAACTGAGACGTTCTCGTACTCCTGGTTCATATTCGTCACCCCGGTTTCACAGTCAATGACTTCACCGTTCGCATTACGACGGAGAACGGCGGAGGAAGATGTGCTTCGAGTGTACTATCCTTCGTCGAGAATGGAAGAAAAAGGATGAGAGAAAGAGAATGAGAGGAGAGAAGGAAAGAGAAGAAAGAGGAAAGGAGGAGAAGGGAGAGAGAAAGAGTAAGAGAGAGCTTTTCCTACGCGAACGCTCGCAACGACGTATGTAAGCGCGTATCGAGGGGAGAAGAGAGAAAAGAAAGAAGCAAAAGAGTAAAAGAGAGAGACATGTGCGAGCTATTCCTGTACGCAACGAGTCGCAAGCGGCATAATAACGCCATGTTGTTGCTTAGCACAGTGAACTCTCTCGACGCGAACGAATAAATTCATGGTGAGATGTGTCTACGCGAAATTGGACGACCGAAATAGTCCTAATATTTTCGAGGACTATATGTCTTTCTTCTCCAGATGTTTCTTATACTCGGTTTCACAAATGTAAGATTAACTTTAATCTTGGTTCAATTTAATTTTTATTCTTTTCTAAGTCTAAGAATTAAAAAAAGATAAAAAATTAATTGACCCGAGATTAAAATTGAATTTACATTTATGGAACCGGATCTTAATTTTCCGGAGTTGACGGTGGATTTATTGGATTTACTCCATTATAAAGTTCTTTGTCAAAAATGTCAATTGATTCAATTTTCTTTATGTTACGTCTGCTTTGGATTATTCTTATTAAAATATACTCGTTAGCCAGTCTTCATTTTTTTTTTATATAAGTTTATACAAGTTTGTAGTTTTCATTTTCTTTTTTGTTATTTCGAGTCTTTAAAATTAATTAGTGCCTTTTAATTAGAATAAATTACATGGATCATTTAAGCCTATTACTTAACTGTGTTACAAATTTTGACGTCAGCACCGGAGGATTGAACGTTCTCCGATTTCTGAGATACATAATCATGAGATAGATAATCTTAGTTGTACTCTTTTGCGCTCAGAGGAGAAGAGAGATTGATTTAGGATATTTGAACACATGGAGGATATACGTATTTGTCGATGCTATCAAAAGGTGCTATTAGGCAATATAATTGACTCGACAAAAACGATATAGTCAGCTCTAAATGTTATTATTACGATATATCCGCTACGTATATCATTGCTATCGTCACGCTTCTCAGAATACCGTGGGCGACGTTAAGTTTACGACCCACAATCTAAAGCCGACCTTTTTCCTAACTAAAGTGGGAAATCGAGGCGGGGATAACTTTTCGATTATAAAAATTGTCAACAAATCACACGAATCTAATAAAATTCGAATTATTTTTTCGAGTTCTAACTTGAATAAATTAATTCGGATCATCGGATTATTTTCGATCTTTTTGCTTTCGGTGACAATTGCATTTTGTGAAAGAAAAGAACGATTCTTCCTATTGAGAGAATCCAAAATAGGAAGCTTTTCTTCCGCGGCTATTACGCGTGACTCTCCATAATCATATTTCTAGGAAATACAGTACATATAACGTAGATATACTATATCGAATAACATTTTCCTCGAAGAGGACGTTTTGGAATGCAGTCCTATATTGCAAATGTGTAAAAATTGATTTAAAAAGTGTGTGTTATTTATATAGTCGTCCGTGTAAAAATGACACTATACATATTTAAATAAGTAAATCCGCATTTGTATGCAGAGTATATAATCTGTTATTTTTACACGGAAAACTAGTCACCAGTGTGTAAAGACATTTTTTACATATTTGGATTTGCATGTAGGCACTTTGCAAATTCTCACTCTCTCTTCTTTCTCCAACAATCATAAAATAATGTCGTGTATAAATTAATAAATTACCAATTATTATCTATTTGTTAATTTTTATTTAATTCTATAAATATCCTTCTTTAATAAAAAAACCTTTATTAAAAAAACAAAAGTTTTTTTTAGCAATTATATTAAAAAATGGTGTATCAGCATTATTTTAATTGAAAATAATCTTATTGATTCAATAACAGTATTAATAAAAGGAATAAAATTTTATTAAAACAAGACTTGTTTTAATAGTATTATAAATTAACATTATATATATATTTTTTAAATTAAAATAATGCATTTGATATAACAACTTTCTGTTAGTGCACCATTTATGGCAAGACATCGAAACCTAAATGAATTCTTGAATAAATTAATTCGTATATCATCGTTATATTTGATACTGAATTCTTTCTATCGGTTGGAAGAACCTAAAGTGCGACGGGCGCTTTTGGAAACGTTCTCCAGCGGCTAAAAGTACGCAAGAGTTCCCGACAATTCTGTTTCTAGGCACTTGGCGAGTTCTCACTCCCCCTTTTATTCCTCCGGTGGTGTCGTCGTTCCCCCTCTACCGAAAGGGCTTTTGTATCGCCTCTCTGTCTCCAGCACTTCCTGTGTTCCGCCAACACGTTCACCTGTCCACCGTCACCTGCCTCCGCGGTTACCTAGGCGTATGCCCCGCCGCGCCGTCGAGAGCGGTGATATCCCGAGGGACCTTAGTTTTGCCTAGAGCGCGGTGGGGCCGCCGCGCCGCGGCCGTCTCACGTCGTATGCAGACTTCGCACGTACATACGCGGTAATGCGACCGCACGCGATTGTGCAGTCGACTTTACGCTGTCGCGCGACTGCCTGCGAACGCACGCGAACGAGTCTCCCTCGTCGTACCGATAAGCAGGGACATTCGCCGGACGAGGGTCGGACGATAGATAGATCCAGGTTCGACGAACTCCAGGCGCGACACATCGCTTCCCCGAACGGTCTCCCCCTGGCTATTTCGTAAGAAACGAAGCTCCGGTCTTGACGCGTGTCACGCAGTGTGTTCATATTAGATCTGCCGCTCCAGATCTGTATCGTTTGAGAGGGGGAGAGAGAGAGAGAGAGAGAGAATATCGTGATTATACAATATTGAATTGTGTGAACACTCTTCCGATTCATTCACATCGTCCGATCCATTGAGTCTCGGAACTAAACATTGATACTTTGATAAAAAGTTCGGAATAAATACATACAAGTTTGAGATTAGAGACAGAGGGATCGATCTAAGGGAAAAAATGAGTTTGAGGTAAACTTTTGTTTTTAACAGAGGGTGATTGAAGGGAAGCCTTGGAGA